CAGCACTTAGTTCTGAGTTCAAGCCCTAGTACCCACAAACACAATAATTTCTCCTGTTTGTAAGACTTTTTTGCGTAGTCTCAGATGAATTTTATGTTCTAACAACAGAAGAGTACTTTCAAAACTGTTAGAAAGCAAATATTTTCTCTCCCACGGTCAAGGTAATCAGGAAGAAATGAGAACTTTCCTGATGATTAGCCAGTGGGAGGTACTTTGTTGAAGGCTGAGCAAAACTAACAGTCTGGCACGTGTCACCAAAGTTATGAAAAGATGACTGTAGTCACTCATGCAATGATAATCGTTCTCCTAAAAGACTCCTACACCATTTTTCTTTTCCAAATAGAAAATAAGCAGTGTGTGCCAATGTCTTTATTCCCATTTTACTACAAAGGAAATAACATGAACAATTTATCTGTTAGTCAGAAAGCATTTTATAACCCCAAACATTTACTCACTGAGAACTGTAACTTCCTTGTAGAATTCAAAGAGATTTTGAACAGTAACTACTAGAGCAGCCCCTCAGCCCTCAGTTCTGAACACTCATTGTTTTTCAACACCACCTAACTGAACTGTTAGCAGCCAGTGCTTTACAATTTAGTCAGATGCCAAAGCTGCAAGCCATTTAGGGAATCATAAATGAAAAAACTTTGTACTTTCAAAAGCTGCCAGCTGTTGTCATTTATTTTTATTTTTTAATAAAATAATCATATTCATTAGCCCACCAGCTAGCAAGAATTAGACATTTATTGGTAGAACGAACAACAAATGAGCAAGGTTCTTGTGTGCTCTTGAAATACAGCCTGTCATTTCAGTGTGTTTTAATTTATTCACAGAATATTCGGCTTATTTTACATGACTGCTCACACGTGGGGTGGAATTCTCCCGCACTGTAGGAACAGACGAAGAGATGCCCATTTCCAGCCATCAGCCAGTCAGGTGGGGGAGGTATTTAGTCCTTGGCTTGCTCGCTCTCTCTGTTTTTTTAGAGGCACAGGATCATTTTCTGGGTGCACTGGAGAAAGGGGGAGAGCCTCTTCCCACCTACTGATCAAACTTTTTTTAAAAAAAAAAAAAATAGCTCTCTCTTCCACCTCCGGAATCTCAGAAGGGGAAGGGGAATATTGTAGGCTTTCAGTCCTTCCTTGGATGGCTTTAACTCCTGGAGAAGCTCCGCGGTCGGCTCTGCCCACCGTCGGCCCTTCCCAAGGCAGCGGTCACCACCTCCTCAGGCCGGCCAGCGGGGACGGCGCCGTCCGGGCGGGCGCTGCCACATCCACTCCTGCAGGCGCAACCCGACCAGCGCTCCACGCGGGGCTACGCAGGATCCCGCAGCTCGGAGCCCCCCGTTTGTGTGACCCCCCCTTTATTTATTCAGCTAAAGAACCGCTCATAACACTGATCTCATTTGGACGCGGTGGGGGACGCGATGTTGGGGACGCTGGTAAGGACCGACTGGGGAGCAGCGCGTGCCGAGCCCAGGGTGTCCGGGGTGAGCGGCGTCTGCGTCCTCGGGTGCCGCGGGGGGCTTCGTGCGGGGCGTCAG